TCAGGCAATACCGTTTCCATGAATGAGTGTACGTGGTCTGCAACAATGTAGATGATGTGTGTCAAAGTAACATCCACAGGGATGGCAGAAACCAAGGTTTCTTAGATCACTAGCCAAGGCATCACACTGCCTCCCCTGTCTAGCCTTTTTCCTACAGGGAGTGCAGAATTATTAGGCAAATGAGTATTTTGTCCACATCATCCTCTTCGTGCATGTTGTCTTACTCCAAGCTGTATTGGCTCGAAAGCCTACTACCAATTAAGCATATTAGGTGATGTGCATCTCTGTAATGAGAAGGGGTGTGGTCTAATGACATCAACACCCTATATCAGGTGTGCATAATTATTAGGCAACTTCCTTTCCTTTGGCAAAATGGGTCAAAAGAAGGACTTGACAGGCTCAGAAAAGTCAAAAATAGTGAGATATCTTGCAGAGGGATGCAGCAGTCTCAAAATTGCAAAGCTTCTGAAGCGTGATCATCGAACAATCAAGCGTTTCATTCAAAATAGTCAACGGGGTCGCAAGAAGCGTGTGGAAAAACCAAGGCGTGAAATAACTGCCCATGAACTGAGAAAAGTCAAGCGTGCAGCTGCCAAGATGCCACTTGCCACCAGTTTGGCCATATTTCAGAGCTGCAACATCACTGGAGTGCCCAAAAGCACAAGGTGTGCAATACTCAGAGACATGGCCAAGGTAAGAAAGGCTGAAAGACGACCACCACTGAACAAGACACACAAGCTGAAACGTCAAGACTAGGCCAAGAAATATCTCAAGACTGATTTTTCTAAGGTTTTATGGACTGATGAAATGAGAGTGAGTCTTGATGGGCCAGATGGATGGGCCCGTGGCAGGATTGGTAAAGGGCAGAGAGCTCCAGCGCTTTCAGTGGTGCACAGGGGTTAGCATGGCTACCCTCACTGCTCTGCATAAGCAACACACTGTGATACACTGTATATTGTAACACCTTTCTATGAGAACCAGCATGAACGTTTCTGGCAGTTTTAACTATAGTAGCTCACCTGTTGGATAAGACCTCAGAGGCCGGCCTTTACCCCCTTGCATCAATGAGTCGGACGCCGATGACGCTGTTTCACCATTGTTCACTTGTGATAGATACTGACCATAGCAGGCGAGGGACAGCCCACAAGAGCTGCAGTTTGGGAAATGCTCTGACTCGGTTGTCCAGCCATTAAATTTTGTCAAACTCACTTAAATTCTTACACTTGCCAATTTTTCCTGCTTCTAACACATCAACTTTAAGGACAAAATCTTCACTTGCTCCATGATGCATCCCACCCACCAACACGTGCCATGATGAAAAGATAATCAGTGTTATTTACTTTACCTGTCAGTGGTTATAATGTCATACCGGATTGGTGTACAGTCATGTGAAAGTCATTAGAAAAGTTCCACAGGTCTCTGAAGTCCTGTGGAAAACTAAGAACACCCTATGATTCAATAGCTTGTAGAACCACCTTTAGCAGCAATGACTTGAAGGACTTGTTTTCTCTATGAGTTTATCGGTTTCTCACGTCATGGTGTAGGAATTTTGTCCGTCTTTTCTTTACATTGTTGCTTCAGTTAATTTGCACGCACACCTCTCTTTGAGTCCTGCCACATCATTTCAATCAGGTTGAAGTCTGGACTTTGACTAGGCCATTGCACCACCTTGATTCTTTTCTTTTTCAGCCATTCTGTTGTGAATTTGCTGCTGTGCTTGGGGTCATTGTCCTAATGCATGACACAATTTCAGCCAAGCTTTAGCTGTTAGACAGATGGCCTCACATTTGACTCTAGAATACTTTGGCATACAATACGGTTCATGGTCGACTTAATGACTGTAAGATGCCCAGGTCCTGTGCCTGCACGACAAGCCCTCCACCACCAATCCCGTGCTTAACAGTTAGTATGATGTGTTTGTGCTGATATGTGTGTGGATTTCTCTAAACTAGTCATTATGGCGAAACATCTTAGACGTCCTGTGGTTTGTTCAGATACAGCTTTCAAAACCAAAGCCGTGTTGACATGTTCTTTTAGAAAGAAGAGGCTTTCTCACAGCAAAACTTCCAAACAAGCCACACCTGTTCAGTTCTTTTCTAACTGTACTGTCATGAACTTAATCAGGTAACATGCTGGCTGAGCCTTGTTGTGTCTGAGATGTAGCTCTTGAATTTAAACAAAACATCTCTTGAACATTGCAGTCTGATCTTGTGGTAAATTTGAGAGGACATCCACTGTTGGGAAGATTGTGGCATTATGTTAAGAACCCCCTGAATGCTCCAGCCCTGCAAATTGCCAAAACTTGCTAATCATCACTTAAGTGCATTTGATTATACTTAGCTTTAGGACTGCATATAGTCCTTTGAGCAGTGTCCTTTTCAAATGACTGTAAATATCCACACTTTGACTTTCTGTATAATCTCATCTTTCTAAATGTCTAACTCTGCATTTCACATCTCCATCTCCTTCTATACCCCAACTCTATCTGTTTATCTCAACCCTTGTGCTGTCCTGTCACTCAGTGGTGAATACGTTACCTCTACCTATACGACAGAAACCTGTTGCATAACATCACAGCCTTTAAGCTTGGCTGCACTCTGACATCAGGAGCAGCATTATCCCTCCATCAGCCGGTCCAGACGTACAGGTACACACTGCTGCCCTGTCCCATTGTCATTCAAATGTTGGGTTGGTGATTGAAGTGCTTATCTCTCCTAATCGGAGTGTGTAAAGGTATTACTGCAGAGGGAGAGCCTTGCCACACCAACTTTGATATGGAAAATCACATCTGTGAGCTCCCAAACAACATTATCTACAGAGAACTGAGTATACCAGATAAAACCTTTTTTCTGCAACCCCTCCATCTGTTGTCTTGGATTAGCTCCATGCTTATTTTGTTTTTTTTAGATCCTCAAAGACTTAGAGAGCAGGGAGGGTGAGGGAGATTAACAGGGGGAAGCAAATAAAGAGGCGAACACACGTCTTGTTAAAAGTAACATTTGTAAGCTTATTATTTTGTTATCATGATCATTGTTATAACCTCTGTTATGGTTCGTTCAGTTTACAGTTTATTTTCAAGTTCATTTAAAGTCATTCCAGTCGAAGGTAAACATGATTGTAATTGTTGTTTCCAACACTAGTAAATGCTTTTATTGTTTTGCCAGACAACAATCGGTCACATTTTCTCATTCATACGCACACATGGAAAGATCAGAAACAAAGAGTCTGTCGCTCGCTCACTCACTCGCTCTCTCTCAATAATTTGCACACACGAACGCACCCATGAACACACATACATGTTTTCTCGCCCGCGTGTCTGAGTTCTTAAGTGCAACTTCTTGAAGAGTGATTTAACCTTTCAAACTCTTCAATTCTCCCATTGGACACCCGAACCCAAACCTTTCCTCCTTCACCCTCCCACCATGAGCTATATGTACACCTGGGGCTGGATCACACATGGTCTTTTAATTGTTTGTTTATTTCCACAGGCACAATCTCTTGTCAGGGTGACATTTCATTAGACTTACTTGCATTCTTTTCAGTTTTTCTTACTAGACATGTTGATCATTTTAACCCATTTAGGTCTCCAAAAAGGCCAAAATAGGTAAAAATTACACCTTTAAAAAGGTTCAAAATATATCTCTGCCTCAGTGAAACATATGCTATCTATATACAATTAATAGCAAACAGACATAGTTTATTTTAAAAGGTTATCACTTTAGTACTTCCCTTTTATAAATCTGGGATTTCTTTAAGATAAAAGCACATGGCCAAAATGAAAACGAGAACAGCTAAAACAGATAACAAATACCAACTTTCTGTCCACACTATAAAATCCTCAACTCAAAAATACTTGATCTTACAATTCCCATGATGCAACTCTGTAACTCCTCTCAGAAGTCATGTCTTGTACAAGCCTATATTTTTCAAATGTCATGGCCCTTACTGATTAAACAAGACATCTATTTAAAATTTCAAGGCTAAAGTTCAGCTTAGTTTACTTATCCGTTTAACTTTTCTAAAGGTTAAAGTTATCATAATTAGGCATGTGGACTGCCAGGAAGCTGTAGCCAGTAGTTGTCTGTTAAGCCACTGAACTGTACCTCTTTCCTGTGCTTGCAGTGTTGGCAAAAGGCTAAAATAATGGCTTCAAAACTGGACTTCACAAACCAATATGTGATGTCACTGTTGCTGTGCCCATCTTTTATTTACAGTCTATACCCCAGAGCCAGAGATTACATTAAAAACGTTCTCACGAGTTCACTAATGCTCCTAATTATCTCCTAACTCATGTATATAGTCACCGGAGCGTCTTTTAAAGGAAATAAAGCGACGCGCCAGTGTTGTTGTTAAAAACATAGTATGCAGCATGACTTTACCTTAAAGTTGAACGAGTTGAAGAGAATCACAGAGTGCAGCCCAGGTTTACATAAAGCTTAACCCAACCCAATTTTCAAACTTTTAAAACCCGTCTTCCCATCTCAACATAAGCAGTTATGTACCACAGCAAACTCAAGAAAACTGAAAATTAAAAAAAAGAAAGGAAAGGAAAACAACCGCAAAGAAAACTGAGCTTCAAGTTTGTAAAAATGCTTACATCACATTTCACCTTGTCAGATTTCAATACATTAGAATTCCATTCTGTTCTGTTGTGACATTTACACGAGTACTTGAACGCCTCACGTACTGGTGGGCGAGCCGCGTGGCGTCAGTCCTTATCGACTAACGGCCAGCTCACAGTCCATCGTCATCATCCTCTTTATTATCATTATAATCAACATCACCTTCATCATTGTTATCAGCTACTATGGTAAGCCATGCCCTACTAGAGTCCATCCGTTGGCAGGGTAGGGTAACCATGGTGAATAAGGTGCTAGTTGCTATGGAAACGCTATTCTGAAGCAACCAACTGGTACATTTGTTTGAGTTTTGGACTGCTGTACCTCCCCACCAAAGCACTTGGTTTGTATGTATAACTTGCTGCTTTAGTCGTGTTTTGATTTTTTTTTTTTTTTTTTTTGCGTTTTCATACTTATAAGATGTACAGTATGTGGATGTATGTATTTTTTTAGGCTGTTAGTACCTTTTAAAATAGTCTCTCTCTCGCTCTCAAACACAGACAAACAGCACACTCGAAATGGTTTTGTTTTTTCCCCACTCGGGCACGCATAAAACACACTCAAACAGAAACGCAAATGTGGCAACTGACATATGGGCGTACAGAGAACAGGGTTGGTAGAGCAGGCCGCTAAACCAACATGGCTTGGACAGGACCTATTTATTGATGCTCGTGTGAGTGACTGCTCCTCCTCTCTCGTCCCCTCCTCCGGGTTCCCCTTCCTCTCCTCTGAACAGCTTGCAGTCGCTTGTGAGGAGCGTAGTATTGCTGAGTGTATCCATGGCTGCTCGATGGCCATCGTGTGCTTCATTAACCTCGGAGCTGGCAGAGGACGAACTGAGTACTTCAAGGAAAAGACAGAAAAGTAGCACAGCAACTTCTAACGTCCACAAACCCTTGCACTGTCTGTCAATGCCACATATTCAGGTTCCTTTCCCCCTCTTCTATCTTTTCCTCAAAATGGTGAGTCGACATTTAAATGCTTTGTATTTTCCCATGACCCCTTTCTGTCCTTTTGCCTTCTGAGCGCTGATGGTGAACACAGAATGACACAGCATAGTGGAAATGGCAACTGAAACACTGGTGGTCTGGAGTCCCAGGGTCTATCTGTGTATGAACTACCGGCTACTTTGACTACATGGGGCCAACATAGTTCATCAGCTGGCTCCATTTTTTTTTCCTCTGTGTGCTGGGAAAAGCTCCCAGCATCAAGATAAACAACAACAAGAACAACAAAAAGGCAATTTCAGTTCAGTACCGCTGAAATCTATATGAATCAGTTCATTTCAGTTCTATTTGTTGCAAGAAACTATGGCAACTAGACTTAAGGATTCTTACAGCCAATCAGATCCAAGGGAAAGTCTTCAAATAGGTTTCAGTTTGGTGGTTGGATTTCATCTTTTTATTAGGATTTGAGCTCCACCTCACCTGTGGAATAAATGCTTTGTGTGGTGTGCAGGATTCAACAAGCTCAACGTTTGGCCTGCTCATGCACACACACACACACATTCACACACACCCACACAGAAACAGAAAAACACACACTCACAAACAGTCTACCCCCACCTGCACCTGTGGGCACAGGCTGACTTTAATGCCAGATATGGTTCAGTCTGTGTCACCAAGTGTCTGAAGGTGCCTGTACTCTGCCAAAACCACACTCCCTCAAACACACAGCTGTACACACACAGACACACACATGCACGCACGCACACAAAGACACACGCACTCCCCCCCCACACACACACACATTGTGATTCTTCCAAACTCTAATTTCAAAGTCTTGCTCCTCTTGCTTTCTGCTCTATTTGCCTCTCCTCTCCTATCCTCTCCTCCGATATTGTACACCTTCCCAAGGCTAGTTGGCATGGTGACGCTAATGGGATGGCCGTTGCTAGGAGATGCAGAGAGCGGCCAAAAAGAGCATCGTCACGGTGAGAAGAAGGCGATCCCTGGATGGGCTGCTTCCACTGACGCTCTTCTCCAGCTTGGGAATAACAGGATTAAATTCAGCTTGAAAAATAAAAGAGAATGAGAAACTATTAGAACGCAACAACAACAGGAGAGAGACAGAGAGATCTTAATTATAATCATGTCAGATGAGAATTTTTCTGTACTTTTAATCCAAGGTTTTATTATTTGGTCATTCAGACGCCGTCTTTAACATCGGCAGCACTCCTTATATTAGCTGCAAAATTTCTATGTCTGATCTTAGACCATGTTAAGGACAGTTTTTTCCAACTTTCCGATGTATCACCACTATAACCACATGCCACTTTATTAGGTACAAATGTTCAGCAATTTGTTCATGCAAATATCTAATCTAATCAACCAATCACATGACAACAATTCAAATGCATTTAGGAACATTAGACAAGTAGTATTAGGTAGTTTCTTTGTACATTTTGGGCTCCTTAACATCAAATGAGCATCATTTAAACACCACAGCGATCCTAAACATTGCTGCTGGCCTGACAATCCCTTTATGACCACACTGTACATATCTTCTGATGGCTGCTTCCAACAGGATAATATGCCACGTCAGAGAGATCAAATCATCTCAAACTGGTTTAATGAACATGAAAAGGAGTTTATTGTACTCAAAGGACCCCAAAATCACAACCTGAAATCCATCTCAATACAGTAGAGCCCCTTTGAGATGTGGTGGAACAGGAGATTCGCATCATGCCTTGTTAAATAGATGCTCTCTAGGCAAAAGAGGTTCAACCCAGTAATACCAAGTGGCTGGAGTACACAATAATACACTAAAATAACAGATAATATAAAATATTAGCAAGAGCCTCTACTAATTGAGACTTCAGCTAAACTTCGGGGTACAAAATGTAGGCACTTTTTCCCCCTCAGGTGGTGTGGCTGGGATGTGTTATTCTGTATAGCAAAGTATCACAGGGTGCAGTACCCAAACACACTGAGCCTTTCAGGATTTCTGTTGGTGTGTTTTTAGTTTTAAACAAGCATTGTTATTTCAGCTAACTGCTATCTCTTGTTACCTGGCCTCTGTACCAGGACTACAGCTGGCTTCAAATGGACCACTTTGTTTTACAGTACACTCCACTGACACAAAACAGTCACAAGTCCTAAAGAAATATCTTGATTTTTGAAACAAGAATACCATGCTTACGCAATCCACAAAGCATAAGTCTGCATTATGTTGTTGTTCAAAGTCTGGCTCTTTGTCTCAGACGACATGTTGCCCATCCCTGTCTTAGATCATCTGACCAGATGCTCCAGGTGGTTTCAAGTCCAAGTTACAAACAAAGAGGTTTTGTACTTTTTCAGCTGGCACCTCTAAGCATCGGAACAGACTACCCGTTCATATCAGATCTGTCCTACATTTTTCCCCTCTAAATCCTCGCTTAAGACCTACCTGTCTGACAGAATTGAGACCCGTATGTAATTGGGTAGGCAATGTAATAAAGCGATTACTCTTTAGATTATCTATTGCCCAGTTGTCTTTTTTCCCTGTGTTTTGGTGGCATACTTCTGCAACACTTTTTTGCTGCTTTGAAGCGTTCTCTATAAATAAAACTCGGCTCATCCTTCAGTGGAACATTTAAAAGCGTTTATCTGGCTTCCTAAATGTGCTATAATCTGGTTTCACAGCACAACTTTTTCTCAAATGTGACAAAAAAAATGATGACAACCCAAGAGAACAAAAGGCAGCTTTCAGTCTTACTCCCACTGAAATATGGTCAGTCTGCACTAAAAACAACACAAAGACTGCAGCTGTTACCAGACAGCTTTCATTGTTCTAATAAGGTGACACATTGCCCATCATACCTGAGACATAAATCTACTGTATGCACTGTAATACCCCTGCCCCAATACCCCTGCACTTACACCTGGAAACAGGCTAAAAATAGGTTTCTTGAGGGCAACACACCAAACTTTGATGTCTAGTCAAAGTGAGAAACACATGACCGAGCAGACAGTTTGCTACAAGCCTGCACCTATGAGACACACGCAGGGGCAGACACTCCCTCTGTAGTCATTTGATTAATAAGACTGGAGACCAGACAGGAGCACAATTTTCTGTCTGTACAGAAGGTCCCTGATGCTGATTAGCAACTATTGTGTTTACGGTCTGATGGCATTGAAATAAAGCAGGGCTGCTCTCAGTGTTTCCACTCGTCGCTGTATCTATCTCCAGAATATTTCCAGCTGCTCCGTGGGTCAGACAGGAGAGTAATGACTCTCTGACACCTGGTTTTAGAGATGGGCTTCTCTGGTATGCTTTGCCAGCCAGTCTAATGAGGTCCATGCAGCAGCGGAGCTCAGGTTAAATGCTTTGACCGTGGTGTAACCGAGTATGCAGCTGAGGGGTCAGGACACTGTGCGGCTTCAAACTGTTGTTTTGGTGCTGACTGACAGAGGAATGTGGTTTTGTAGACACCAACAGCAGACGGCAGAGCATCTCGTACAACTGGTTCCAAAGTGAGGCTCTGCTAATCGCCCCATTACACAGAGACACACAGACACTCATAGTCTGCCACTGCTGTTAATAACCGTATAATTATTGGCGTACAAGTTGTTTGTGCAAAGGTCATGTGAGGTGCATTGTGACCTTCTGACATGCTGGGCTGAGCTAAACATACAAACGTCTGCATGTACATATTACAGTGCACAAAAAGCAAGTAGCATCTACCTAATAATTAAGCTCAGACAGCTGTAAGTGTCTATAAATCTGGAAGTCACGAAATGCAGTGTTGTGCAAAAGTCTTGAGCCACCCATCATATTTCCTGGGAAACTTGCCAAGACATTTTTGAAACATGTGTAAACCAAAATGGAAATATAGTATATTAGGCAAAAACAAAGTTTTTACAGTTCTAATGAGCTTGAAAATCACCACCTTTATACTTCTACACAGCCTGAATTCTCTGAGACAAGCTTTCCTGTCATTTCTTCAGGAATAGTTTTCCAGGCTTCTTGAAGGACATTCAAAACTCTTCCTTGGATGTTGGCTGCCTTTTCTTCTGTTCTCTGTCAAGATGATCCCACACTGCTTCAATAATGTTGAGGGCTGGGCTCTGGTGAGGCCAATCCATGATTGATGGTGTTCCACTGTGTGTTTTTCTATTTAGGTGTATGTTTGCAGCACAGGCAGTGTGTTTGGGATCATTCTCACGCCAATCAGATGCTTTGCAGATGGTATTTAATTTAAATCAAATCAGAATCAGAAATTTCTCATTTGGATTCATCACTCCATCAGACCTGTTGCTCCCATTTTTGTGTAATTTGGCTATTTCTCCCTGTTTCCCTTCCATAAGCTTCTTTAAGAGTGGCTTCATTACAGCCACTCTTCCACTGATGAAGCTTCAGTACAGTAGATGGAACAGCTGAATATCTAGATGCATCTTTCCTGTGTCAGGTCTTTGCATGATTTCCGGATGCTGGTATAGATACTATTTTAGAGCTGTCACTTGTTTGTCCACCACTTGTCCAGTTTCCTCAGTTTTTTTTTACAGAAAGCACTACACACCCGAAAGAGATATTTTATTCTGTCAAACTATATTATCTTTGACATTTTTCATAGACTCAGATAAAGAAATGAAAGGAAATCGTGTGTTTTTGCTACAAGCTGCTAATAATAAAGAGTCTAAAGATGTGCCAACACACAATACTGGTTCATCCCTTGAGTTAAATAAATAAATTGAGTGATTAATAGCTCAGTGATAAAGGACTTAACAAAAAAATCATCTGAAATTTCCCGCAGACAGAAAGACTATACTGAAAATTAGTGAAAAATCAGCCAATGCCCAAAGAAAAACTTTGAAAGACTTTCAGGAAGCCTGGAGAACCATTGCTCACGGCCGCTTTTTAAAAACTGCAAGAAAGTCTCCTTGGAAGCCAAATATAGAGTTGATCGTCAGCTTCAGGAGACGTGAAGAGGAACCTGCTCCGCTTTGCATAAGTGGAAACATTGTAGAGAGAGTGCCCAGCTTTAAATTCCTCGGCACACTCATCTCACACGGACTCTAAACACAACCTCTCGCGTGAAGAAGACACAGAAGCCATTTGACTTCTTAGAAACACTGCAAAGAGCAAACCTGCCCAAACAGCTGCTTGTGTCCTTCTACCACAGCTCGGTGGAGTATACTTAGCCTGGCATCTTGGTGTGGTATGCCAGCTGCACCGAGGCTGACAAGAAAGCTGTTCAGAGAGTCATTAAATCAACATAGAGGACAACCAGCTACCTTCACTCGAGCAGGTCTACAGACAATCAAGGTCCAAACGGCAATCTATCCATCTGTAGCACTCAGAGACAGGCTTCAAATTTCATTGTACTCCCATATAATCAAAAATAAAGGCATTCTATTCTAAAATATAAGAAAATAAGAGTAGCTTTTGCACAGTGCTGTAGCTTAGACTGGATTACGTCTGTCTAATCTGTGTTTGTGAAGGAGTGTGTGAGCTAAATCCTCTTTTATACACATTTTATACTACATTATGTTACTGTGGGAGTATAAATCTGACCTTATTCTGTATTTTATGAATACTGAATAATTTAAAAAGAACTTTTACAGCATTATGCAATTCAGTAGAAACGTCCTGGCATAAATAATTTAAGAGTGACTTTGTTGACACTGTGAGATGTGTTGAGTCTTCTCAGAGCTTATAATTTGTGGCGCTCTTGCATCAGAAAGCCCTCATTAAAGGGGCACTGCAGTGATTTAGTACTGCATTTTTACAGAGACGCAGGTTAGAAAAAAAAACAAACACACAAAAACTGTGACCGAGACTGTTACAAGAGCGCCTTTCATCAGATCCCGCCTGACTGGTTCATACACACGTCTTTCAACATAGTCTTTATTTAACAAACATCTCGCAGAGCCTCCGAAGACAATAGTCAACTGTCTGCAAAAGCCGCGCAGCTCTCGCCGCGACTAGTAAACAGAGTTTGACATGCTAAATCAGAGGCAGGTTACTTAAAAATAAAGAGCGAACGTTAGCTAAACAAACACTGGCTGTCCAAACAAACGCCACAAACAAACAGCTGTTAGATTGCTGAAGAAATTCAAAAGAAACTGACAGCAGACCGCATGCATGTATGCAAATAATTACGCTTTCCAGGAGTTTAACTGCAAGTAAACAGAATCATTAGCAGTGACATTTGGAAGGGATAAATGGTAAGCTCGAGTTATTCATGTTATTGGGCAAATAATAAATAAAACACATTTTAAATATTTACTTATTTGTTACACTTTGCTCCAGAATGCACTCGACCATCTTGCTTCTGTTTTTCTCGTGTAATCTTAGCTTTGTAAACCAAATATTTAAGGCGTGTTTAAAGGTTGCAATTGTGTTATTCAGCTCTCCCATACACCACAAAAATGCACAAATAGGTTTGCACGTTACAGCAGACGTGTAAGCTTGCCAGATAGAGGTAGTTTAAACTGGTTGAGTGCAAACTGTCTCACAACTCTTTCTACAAATTGACCTAAAAAACAGTGACAGGTACTTTCACACCTAAGTCCAGCTAAAACAGTTGTTTTTCACTTTTGGGGCAGTTCGATTGGAGAGGTGTGATCATTCACGTACAGATAGACCCCCCGCTTTTTTTTTTCTTTTTTTTTTCGAAAAAAGGTCCTCACAACAATCCGAAATAAGTTTATTTGTGATGAGCACGGGCTCTTGACCTCGATGCAACTACCGGGTGACCTGGAGTTTGAGCTCCTGTAGCCAGGTGTGCTGTAATGTAGCAGGGCTCACAAACTGCCGTCCTAAACACCTGACTTTCCTCTCACCTCTGCTTTGCCAGCTATATCTTAACACCCAGTGGGCTGAACTTTCACACATCCCTTGCAGTGGCACATCATGATTACCTGCTACCTTTTTTCCTCAAAAAGAAACCAAAGCATAGGGAGAATTTACAAAATTTACAAACTGCAGGTATGAAAACGTTGATCTGTAACTGTGCTGTCTTCTGATGCCAAGTACCTTAAACACACTGTGCTCATAGGAATAGTAATTGCTACAACAAGCCCCATTAACAAGAACACGCTACAGATTTTTCTACTAATGGCCAGAGCTGATCATCGGATGCAGTAATCTGAGCCAACAGGGTGGGAAAATGAGCGTCCTCCCACTGAAAGCCTTCAGTAATCGCACGGTTGCACGGGGAGCAGCTAGCGCCATTCCATCTGCGTTGTAAATGAGATCTAAATGAAATCTAATGCTAGTGGCCGTATTCAGCAGGGAACCACATTGATTGAAAGGGGAAGGTGCCCAGGAAATAAACTGCGAGGAGAGAAGGGGGGAGAAAGACACGGGTGGGTTCCAATACGCAACATTTGAGTCATTTCAACATTTCTACACACAATAATCAGGCAGATTTGAACTGCGCAGTCTGTGTGAAACTTCAGTAACAGTAATTAAAACTACGATGTGAGGACGTCTGACCGGCAGCCAGGAGGACTGAGAGCGAAGGAGGAGAACAGGAAACTGTACCACTTCTTTGTCTTCAGCTCATTTCGCAGCTCCCTGCTGATCTTCTCACTTCCTCTCACACCACTTGGGTTATCGTATTAATTTAATTGGCAACACAGCACTACAGGTGAAAAAGACCCATAGGGGCTGGGGTAATTTCTTTTCAGCTATTGTGTTAGCCGCTCACTATCAACAGTACAGCTAGAGTGCCATGTCCTCGAGCTGTCTCTATCAGTTTAACACATTAAATGTAGATATTCTTCTGTTGAAATGATCTTTAATGTCCTTTTCCTTCACATAAAAAATCTGTACATGTGTAGCGAACAGATTTTATTTTGCAATAATCATGTTTTGCATTTACTGTATTAGAAAAGAAAGCAAGGAAGGACCAAGTACTGAGGAAATGTGATAAGAATATATCATACATATTGTAATATATTGTTGCTAAGTAGCGAATGGGAATTTTTACCCCCTAAAATTGTTTTGGCATAAAAATATTTCAAACTTTTTTTAATATCACTGTGATAGTATTAATGAATACCATAAAACCTAAGATAAATATCGCTTCGGGGCGGGAAAAGTATTAAACGAGGGAAAAACTCAATTTCACACATCAAAAGGTGAATAAACTGAGTTTAGGTGGCTTTCTCCACGACTGCATTGCTACTTGTGCTCTCGGAGGAAAAACGGAAGATGGGAATTAAAAGGCAGAGGCATGAGGAGGGCATAGAGAAAGGAGATGGAGTGAGAGTGAAATAAGATGAAAGAATGATGAGAGGAAAAAGAAGCGAGGGAGCGGTATCTCACAGAAACTCGCATGACCTGCAGCTATTTGCCGCAGCCAGTCATGAGTTTTCTTACGACAATTATTAGAACAAACTGACTTACACGCGTGCGCGCATGCGAGCGCGCGCACACACAAACACTCAGGCACACGGGGAGATTAACAACAACGCAACGCCATATTTTACAAGATACCTTGGAGGAGAGCGTGTGATAGCTAGACAGGATTATGATTGATACCAGCATGCCTGGTTGTGTAACGGCTGCTGGATAGGTAGGCCAAGCTACCTGCATGTTGTTACTGTGTTGCTATGCTGTTGCCACAACACTAAAAATCAACAATATGAACAGGTGATCCCAAAGTCTGTCATTTTTTGATTTACTTCTTCGCTTCTCTCTTAAATCGCTGCCAACAGATTTCACATTATACACACGATCAATTTAATCATATAACTCCAAATCGGAGCAACACAACGACAAACAGGAAGCACTTCCAAACGGGCAGGGGCTATCTGAATACGGGATATCTAAAGAGGCCCCGCTTTTCTGAATGAATTTTATACTTTTTGTTGTAAATTTTCAAGAAACTCTGTGTTCTCTGCTCATCTGGGTGAAAACGGCATGAAATGTGTGAAATGAATATTCATGTCGTTGTTTAGCAGGATCAGCAGCTTGCCAAGCCAGCTGGCGCTGTGAAGTTAACTGCGCTGAATATCATTTCACTTGGTTAGCCACTTTTGATGCTGCACAGTCGCACTGCCATCTATATCAATATCATTGGTCAGCCAGCTGACGCGTTCAAAGAATAATGCTGATGATCTTCTACCATATGCGTTTTTTTTAAAAATTGCAAGCAAATCCAATACAAGCGTGTCGTATCCATGTTTGCAATAATCCACTGCTGAAAATACAGCGAGCAGCATTAATAGGAAGTTGTTATTCCATATTTTCAGTCACTTAATATTTCAGACTAATAACTAATACATTGTTGCTTGTTTATGAATTTATGAACTCTGCTTTGACTTCAATGAGACGTTGAAGGCAAATAATCTGATTTCCTTGATTTGGTACTAAAGTGATCAAAATCAGAGTCTGTCGCTGTTTTTGTGAATCGAGCTGCAACAGACAGATGTGTCTTACACTTCCTGAACTTCCTGTGTGTATTACTCACCAAGCTCATCAATTTTTAGGCCTGGTCTAAGCGTGTAGACTCCATCTGTAGGCCCTGGCTCATCATCCACATCAGAAGCTGTGTGTGTGAGAGAGAGAGAAAGAGAGAGAGAGAGTGAAAAGTAATTGAGCTGAAAAAAAAAGGGAGCAGGGGTTAAACTATTGCTCCAACCAAGAGGACTTTAATTACTTCCAACATGACATCCAATAGAGTGGCATGACAAGGGTGCAGGGTTGAAAAACCCCACAGCACACCGACTGACAAGCCACAATATCACAAGAAGCCCTGACAAAAAGATAGAGAGAGACGGGGAAAAGAGGGAATGTGAGGAGAGGCAGATCAAACTGAAGAGAGTCAGTGTGTGAAAAGGGATGGAGAGTGATGGAGTTGTGGGGGTGAAAGAGGGAGGAGAGGTTAATACTACAAAGGACCGGACAGGCCAGGGATCAAAGTCTGTGTGTGTGTGTGTGTGTGTGTGTGTGTGTGTGTGTGTGTGTGTGTGTGTGTGTGTGAAAGTGAGTGAGAGCGGGTCGAGAGATTGAAGGGTGGCAGGAGAGCGAGAGAGGATAACACTACATATACATAGCCACCCACTGACCGCACACGGCAATAAATGGATTCTGACAGGGAGAGAGGGAGGAGGGGTGGAAGAGAGAGGGAGAGGAGTGGAGAGGAAGCAGGAGGGGGTTGAGGGCCTTCAAAGCTGAAGCTGCTCCCTTTTTTTGCTGCTGTAAAGAGAGGGGGAGAGAGAGAAAGTGAAAGAAGAGTGAGACGGGGAAGAAGAGAAAAAAGAGGAGCTGGGACGTGGGGGGCTATGCTGTGAGTGAAAATGCTGCAGGAGACTCAGCAGCAGTATTAATAGCTCTGCCTGTTTTAGGCTGTATTTAGATTGTGTGTGCATCTGTATGCAGAGAGGGTGTGAGTTCGTTGGGAGCCTGGTGCTTTCCAGATGGGCAGAGTGGCCAGATGGGTCCAGGTAAAGCCTGCGAACAAGTCCAAGCATTATAGGTCAAACATCACCCCCCCAAACACAAAGCAGGAGACTTACCCGTGGAGCAGCAGACGTACACTCGTAGTCTCAGACAGGCGCGTCCGTGGTGATGAGTGGGCGTGGCTGCACAACAAAATAATACACAATAAATTAAATGCCGTGTGCACTTTTGTTACAGAGCTTGTACTTAAATATAGCCAGAATTAACCGTTTGGGACACTATTATCATGCATTTGTTAAACAGAAAAACAATCAGCCAGATGTTATGTTACTACTACTTGACTAATCAACCGGCTGGCAATCAGCGACACAAAACAATGACTCGAGAAGGTGGGTAGAATGTTTTATTGCATGCGACTCACTGTGGTGTATAGTTAAGTGTTGGATTTTTCATGTGAAGCAGTGAGAGCAGTGGTCTGAAAATGTTAGGATGGCACATGATTCTTGTAGATTTGCTCACTTACCTACCAGAATCCTACGTTAATATTACCAAACCCACAAATACACACAAATATGTACAGGAGTAAATGAGTACTGCACCGATTATACAGTCAGTAATATCTGTTTTGGCACTGTTTTATGACAGGCTAAAAGTTCATTATTTATACAGTGGCTTGTTGGCACAAGGTGCTGCAAGTTAATTTGATTAGCAATCAACAAAATGGATGAGCCTGCACGGCTGCAGGGCGATATGATTAAATGTGAGGCTGCAATTTGTCATCCCCATATTACTCGAGGACATGACTTGGATGATCGAGCCGAATATTCAAAGATAAAATGTCATGAGCCTGTGCCTTCTCGGCTGACTCTGTATGGCTACAAGTGTTTTTGTTGTGCTGCATCTCCCTCTCTCCCCTTCCGCGCACTGCGCTCTACCGGGGCGGAGTCATGACGGCTCCAGCCCCTGGCTCGGACACCTGCAAACAATCATCTCACTCACTTCTTAAGGCGGCTGCTGAGAGTGCTTCCTCGCTGGATTATTGTGTAACACTCATTTCTCGCCAGCCTGAGGACCGCCGTTCGGTGACCTAAAGACCAGAGCCCGAGCTACCTGAGCTTCAGTGGATTGTGTATATAGCCGTTCCCTTCCCGTGCCTGTGTTCCCCGGAGACCCTCTTCCTGTGCCCCCTCACTTGTATATACCCGCACCTGGTGTCTACGTGTAAATAAAATTGTGAACCTTAGTGACGGTCTGCCTCCGAGTCTCTCCTGAGCCTGACATAAAAGTTATATGTGTAATATTATAACGAGCAGGGGTTTTTTTAACCTGCTGCTCTGACCTCAATAACATCGTTCTTTAATATTTATATCTAGACATTTACGACATTAGTGAAATTTCTTTTATAAGATATACAGCAGGTTCGATTCCACTCACAGATGTAGTAATACTCCTGGCCGACGTGGAACTCGTAGCCCAGCGAGAAGGCGCTGTAGCGCTGGAACTTCTCGGAGAACTTGATGGGCGCGTGGGGGGCGTGAGGCCGGTTACACTCCCACCGCTTGAAGCCCATCTGGGGATCACAGCTCCTGTAACCGCGGTAGCTGACCATGTAGAGGACGTACTGCTCTCCGGTGCCCACCATGCGCTGGCTGTCGTTGTAATGAGGGCAATAGATGTCCAGGTAGTCGTTGACGTTCACCTGCATTGTGTAGCCCTCCCTACGCAGACTGGACAAGCAGAGAAGCAGCAGAGATTAAATTATTAAACACTCAAAACAGCTACATAAAAATATTACTTGAAATTCTGGCACTTTCTGTCATCATTTACATCATTTTTTTGAAATCAGTGCCATTGCAAAGCTGAACAGAGGTGTTGATGAACACACATTTTACACTCTTTATAATATGAGTGCTAATTTTTGAGTATGTTCGTACACAGATGACACAAACAAACATAAACATGCTTTGGGCATTTCCTCAACACTCAGTATCACATACATCACTGCACAGCAGCAGCAGCAGCGATGTAACATCTCAGATCACTGCACGGGATTTTGTCTTTCGGATGCTTTCTGCTTGAACAATCACCAGGCGTAACACAAATCTTTGTTTCAGAGGTATCGAGTTATTAATACCAGTAAGTGGGTGTGTGCTTAAGGGGGCGAGGGTGTGTATTCGTGGCTGCGGGGCTGCTGCATGCAAAGAATGCGGAGCTGGCTCTTCAGAATGGACTCAAGGCCCCAGGGCCACAGCTCCTTCTCCTGGTGTCAGCGCAGCGTTGTCCCCTAACCCCACTGCTCGTACATCAACCTGAGCGCAACGTTGCACTCACGTCAACCGTCAACGTCCCGGCAACGTTTCTTACCCCCCAAAGCTCATATATCAGCGTCAACCCTAAAAAAGATTCAGCTTGACAGGAAGATAAGGTCTGATTCTGTGTCTGGGAGCTTGTGTGCGCGCCTATGTGTGTGTGTAGTTTCTGTGACAAAGTGAAATAGGTTCTTTCCTGACATCCAAAAGCCCCTTTTTTTCTCCCCATCACAGACACGGGCCCATATCTGTGAGACTGAGACAGGCTGCAGTTGTAAATCATGCACACTCCGATGAGCATGTGCGTACACACATCCGCTCTCGTTCACTCAGACGCTCTAGTGGTGACACCATAAAATCACAAGGGGGCAGCAGTGTGTCATCCTCAGCCCGACTCTGCCTCGCTCCCTCTTTGCCAGTTCTAGGTCATGTCTCCAGGGAGATTATTATTCAATTATTAAATGAAGATCGAAACACTGCTCTCAATGTCTCCTTCTCTCCATCACTTCTTACCGCTCTCTTTAAATCCATCCTGAATTTCTTTTTTTCTCTGACCTCTTCATTTTTCTCTCATCTCTTTCTTTCAGAGCAACCTAAGACTAATTGTTCGACATTCATCCTTTACTCCTTTTGCCTCGTCTCCTATCCACCCCTCTCACTTTCACTCATTACATCACTTAATAGCCTGCAGAGGAGATTTACTTTTTCTGGCATTAGTGGCAGAAAAATGCAGAAAATGCTTTAAGGGAACTATATTTATAGTGAATGCAAAAGAGAGAGACATGGAAAGCAAGCGAGAAAGGACTCGAGTGAGCGATGAGTTTGGTTCCACTAGGGAGGTGTGAATGCAAATTGAGTAGAAGAGGAGTGAAAGCCAGAATAGAGCAGACAAAGAAAAAAAGGGGAAAAAAAGAAGCAATTGGCGAGTTTTATGATACCAAAGAAAAGCAAGTTTTGAAAGATGAAGTGATAATGGCAGAAAAGAAAGTGAGAGAAAATGAGGGGGAGGGCATCTCAGGGCATCTTGAATAATCTGAAAGCAAATCACTCCTCCAAGATAAAAGATGCCACAGGATTCCCACTGTGTATGTCCTGGTTTGGTGTGTAGTAGGTACGAATGAGCATTTCTCCGAGCGTACAGCGCTGCGATTTGCCAGCCATTTATTTGATATCTTGACATCTTTAGGAGCCCCATCTCTGACACGCACACATGTACGCACATAAAATCCTACATAAGTGACTTAACGGCAAAACCAATCTTATATAAAAGTGGCATCAGATCATATAATAGCCTTTGTTTCACGCCGTGGATAATCGGAAAATCAGACCAATTTCAGAGTGAGATTAAAGAGCAGATAAAGCATTGAGGGGGCTTGCATGATATATCATGTCTGCAGTCTTATTCATATATCACAATAATTATACGGCTCTTGCATAAGCAGAAAGACTGATTGCATTAAACAAAAATGATCCAAATTCTGAACTATACACAAGGATTTTTTTTATTATTATTACTCGATTAATGACCAACTACATGACACAGAAGACACGAAAAGCTGAAGAAAAAAAAGCAAAAACCACGCACAATAAATGCAATGTGGCATTTTGAACAATTTTAACAACACAATCAGATTTCATTATATGTTGCTCATATAATAAAAAATACAGTGTGTTTGAATATTCGCTTTAAATGTAGTTATGAATTATGTGAACTGAGACTCTCTCATCAGAAGAATGACCCCGATGAATTTGACAAGTTGAGATCAATTTTAATCAGAAAATATGCAGGTGATAAAAATGAGCCAATAAAGCATGTTTTGGTTTTACTCGAGTGCGTTACACAGTAAGGCATTTTTACATTTTAGTCGATGCATATGTCAGTAAATATAGAAACGTTTCAGTATAAAGCAGTTCAGTTTAACTACGGCTCAAAAGATAACAAATAAACAAAAAGCTTTTAAGCTATAATTTACTGCATGAGTGCGACACTGCATTAGAATCCTGGGTCAGCATTTCCAGTATATGCAAGACGCTGTTAACATGCTTTGCTCACTATATTTTTAACCATAATGGTACACACTAATGTACTCATGTTTTTAGAGAAATGTGTTAATTCTTCTATAAAACACTTTTTTTATTCATTTTTATTTACCAACAAAAAGTCGACTCACAGTTACTGAAATATTGACGACTATCATTCATGTACCAAAACATTCTTTTGAGCAAAGAAGCTGCGACAGTCACGTACCAGCCATATCGTTCCTGCCGTCTGCTTCAAGTCCAAAGAAAATGCAATAAATATTTTAATTTTAAAAACAGATCTCCCTGAGAGTCGTGAGCGAAAGTCGCTCTGGCTGAGAAGACTATCACAAAATGTTCAGCCTCATTTTGGAATTTTCTTTTATTCCCCTCTATGATACCGGAGTTTATTAGATCGTAACGCTTCCTGAAATTCCAAACAAAGAGAGACGCAGCGATACAGCCCAGCAGGTTATGAAAAGTCAGAATGTGCTGCTTGCTGATGCTGCCTCCTGATGCCTCAGTTTCCTTTTGTGTTGAGGCACCACTAATTTCCTCCCTTACAAGTGATACCTGGCTAGGTGACGCTGATAACAGCCAGAGACCTGATGGGACATTTCATCGGCCTGAGCAAAAGTTTCCAAGAGCAAAAGATCACTTGTATACAGATCCGCCAGAGAGATGGAGCGATGGAAAGACGGAGAGAAAGATGAGAAGATTTATAGCATGAGACGAGGGGTAGTTGGGGTTAAAAACAGCAGACTCTAGCAACCAGAGAGCCAAGGGTGATAGCTGGAGGGAGTGAGAGCGAGCAACAGCTAAGAGCAAGATCAAAGTGGGCCTGGATCAATGTCACTACTGTAAAATCACATCAGAGAGTGTGAGGGAGATACAGAGAGAGAGAGAGAGTATGTTGCCTGTATAAATCAGTCATAGGCAACATAATGCCACAGAGTTACCCTCTATCTACTTATTATCTGTGTGGACTGTTGGAGCATCATATATCAATAAAGCACTTGACAGTAAGCGCCATCGTTCCTTTTTGTAACAAGAGCTAGTGGGACTGGCTTACTCTGCTCTTCTGTTGGTTACATGGAAGATTTTGTGGACAGCGGAGGACAATAAGGATAGGTAGAAGCTCAAATATTTAAGTCAGCGAGAGGGTCTCCCCCTTAGGACCATGTTTTTTGTGAGAACAGCACATTGGTCAATATGCTGCATAGTGTATGGCACATCTGTGTGATTCCCATTACGTGGGATACGTGTCCAGGCATAGCTCCACTATTTCACTGTACCAGCAGTGTTTGATTAACTGCTGAAAATGCTCTCATTTGTTACAATTATTCTAATGCAGGGTATTTTAAACAAGGGATGGTGTGAAAGCTCGCTGATGCCCCGGCTAAGGTGGAAAATGTTACTTATTAAGCATATTTTTCTTATGGCTTATTAAACCTTGCCATGACAGGTAAGCAAATGTGGGAGAACGTTACTTTGTAGCAAATTTTAAAATAGCAGCTCAATTTCAGCAGTGGGCTTGAAAATCGCCATGGAAACAAAAGGAAAGACATTAAAAAACACAATGTAACAGTTAGCAAACATTGTTTCTGGGAATAAACGGTCTTTTTTACTGAAGACACTTTGCCACGTTACAATTACTTGTACATAGATATATAAAAAAGAATAAAAAAAGAAGAAATCAAAGAATATAAAAGTAATGCTGCTTCGTTTTAGTGTTCTTAGGCTGTGGATCGCCTGGTTTACCATCACGCTATTACAGAAGTTTGTGGCGCTGTCATTACAGTTGTTCTATTAGTCACACCAGTGGTTTTTCTGACATGATTTTATACACCAAGTCAAAATGCTTGCTGCGAAGAAGGCCATCTGATTGATTTTTCCTTATTAGGGGAATCAGATTTACTTTTAGAGATATCTCTGAAAATGCAACCATGACAGACGCACAGTAATTTGGAGACGTTACATTCTGCCCCTTTCAAAACTATGATAGTGTCAAGATAGTTAAAGAAAGGCCAAGTCTGGCTGTAACAAACTTTCCCTCAGTAACTCTGACTCACTTAGTTTCTGAACTAGAGCTTTTGAACTTTAATACAACATGCTCAATCCGTTTGCTATAAATGACACAAAATGTAACATTGTGGGTTCATGTCAAATACATCACACTCATTTGAATATCCGTCGATGTGTACACATGGTAGAAAAATTTTCAGAATAAAAGTTGAGCCGACTTCACGGATGTTACCTCAACTTTGTGAATGTTGTCTGAATGTCCTTGTTAAACTTCCTGGAAAGAAAGAGTTTGTTTTCTCCTACTCTATATCGATTAGATCAAATTTCACTGGGGGGGATAACCTCATGTTTTTCTTGGATTCTACCAACTTGGT